ACAATGGATAGAAAGAGAACTTTGTCTATGCCGTAGCGTTGTAATTTATCCTATATAAATGACTGTGATAGTTAGTCGAAAAAAATGGCAATCGATAAAGAATTATCATTACCGTATTAATAAGTGTACACTATAGTTCAAGTACTAAATTAAGATTCTTTGCGAAAAAAAATTGCTTTACTGTTTTGAAATAGCCGGTGTATCTTTACTCACCCGATTGCAGAGTGGGAAAGGCGACTTTTGTCTTGTTGGGTTTGCGCCACTGCTACGAGAGAAACACCCTCCCGGGTCCACCGTACCGAAGGACGCAGCGACCATGATCGTACAATAGCGTATAATAATAATATTACACACAACGTGCCGCCGGTGGTATGTGTATGTTATAGACTATATCTCGCTGGGCACCGCAGCTGGCACTGTGAAGGGGGCCCTATACATTTCTACGATTATGTTTAAGACATTTTGTCGACGACACGAATACCGATATTAATAAAACGATAAAAATAACACGAATTCGGAATTTATATTTTAAGTACACTGGAACTTTAGAACTCACGTTTTCGAAAACGAAAATATTTATTTTATAACACTGCAATATGAGATGATATTATCGATAATTTATTTAATATGCGCTGCCAGTCTACAAGGTGTTTCAAGAAATAACAATTTACGATTTCGACATCAAATTTTTATTTTGATAAACATAACACAGCAAAGAGACACACACGTGCGTGGCTGTCTACATAAATGTGTTTTGTCTTAACCTCACTTGTTCATGATGTTGTTGATGGAAAAATCAAAAAATCTCAATTTGTTTTTTGTTTTACACCGCACAACACACTTCCTAGTTGTTACACAGCAACACATTTTAGTAGTGTTAATATTTTTTAGACCTTTTTGTTGAAAAATATTATACATACGAATATTAAAAAACACTAAAACCAAATTATTTAAAAAAACTTAAGACCCAAAAAATGTATCGGTCAATAATTAAAAAATAAAAACATTTTATCAATTGAAAATTGTTATGAATGCTTTCAAAATGGTTACTCTAGGTAGATACAATTATGTTCATTCGAGTGAATAAATCGTGTTTCTTATGGGAAAAGTGTCAAATTATTTGGGGAGCAAAAGTTAGGATTTCGTTTAAATTTTAACATACAGCCGAATTTGTAGCAATAAAACCGAGAGTACCTACGACAAGGAGGTCCGGTAAGCTGTTTCGTAATCACTGTGTCCTTTGTTGCGTGCACGCTATGCATTACACACGTAGGCTACACGCCATCGATCAGAGTGGAGAGCAATTACTTCCAAACGTTATTCCCTCTCGTTTTTGCCATACGTTTCTAACAAAATATAACTCGACGAGCCCGGGTTTTCTTTAATCAATGCGCCCAAACTTGAGCCCTTAGTAGAGCGTCACGTCCGAACCGTGTGTGAACGGTTCCCTTTTAAAAATACAACGCTCAGCCGATGTGGTTGTGGTGCGTTCAGGTAACCGGTACGAGGTGTAACCAGCCGCCTCCTCTTTTCGACGGTACACGATTCACAATATACATATTATATATATTTACGACGAATTGTGATGTGTGTATATATAATATTATAGGTATACGAGATGTATTGAACGAGTAGCTACGGAGCTCACATATTATTCCGACGGCAAACGACCATTGCCGACTTAAATACTTGAGTACGATGAACGTTACCTCCGCTATAATAATAATATTCTTTTACTATGTTTACGCCTACACACATAATATACATCACGACCAACCACCAGATGCTCGTCGTGTGTGTAGGCCTGCTGCCTCTTGGGTTGTCGCACAGCTGCACCGATAATCTGCAGGGCACGGGATGTTATTTATTTTTTTTTTTTACCGTTTTTCTAATGGCATTTTCATAAACCACCGACGGGCACCGGGAGAGCATCTCGGCAGTGGGATATCGCCGGATTAGGTCGATTTCATTCGCTTGACCGTCGTGTCCGCGGCTATTATAGTAGTGGATGCCTCGGTCGGTGTGAACGACCTCGTGAAAGCCTCCGTGCAAGGTCAACCGGCGGCTGCGAGAAACGCAATATTACAGTGATGAAGAATAAAAAATAAAAATAAAACCTGAGAATACTATGATCGGTTCGTTGTCGCAGAAAACCCGCCGACAAAATACATATACTGAATAATAGTATACTGGTATAATATATTGAAATCGACGAGACACAAAGCGGATTTGGTTCGAGGCGGTGTTTAATTGAAATTTTTTTTTTCACGGCGAGGTCGCGGTAACCGTGTTAGATAGCACGTGGGGTAGATGGATTTTTCGGCATACAAAGAAAGGGAAGTTGTCGTAGCAGACCCTCCGAGACATAACATTGCAGATGCGCGATGTCGGATACGCCCGACGTCGACCCGGAGACAGGATGTGTGCGACGTGAATTATGCAGCAGGGTTTGTGCGCGTTATGTCTGCGTTTACAACAGTGTGTGTGTGTGTGTGTGTATTGTACGCACAAATCTGGAGGCCAATGAATAATACAAAACGCGCGTTTATCTACATTCTACATATAAACATACACGTCATATAAGCCAAATGTGATATTGTAGTACATGGGATTATTACGCGATCGGCAATTTTTAATAACGTTGTTATATAATAATGTCATTACTCTTTTCTAAATATTATATTATATCTGTTCGAGACGACGGCGACGGACCGTCAACCTGTTTACCAGTATCGTTGCGAGTCGCGATCAGGGTGTTTGCCAGAAAGAAGGGTAGTCTCGCGATGAGAGGGAAAAAAATTCACACACTTCGGTCGGGGACACAAGAGTGCGTTTCTATTGTTCGGTCGATGGGGAGAGGACAAGACGCGCGTCTTGCGCCACCGTCGATCTCGGACCGTTATTAGAACGTGTACAAGTATACATTCATTGAAAAAAATAGGTGGGTATGATTAGGAACAAAAAAAAAAACGGATATCCTGCGGGTCCTTCTCTTTTTGCCGGTACCACCCCGTCGATTGTGTTTGACGATGCCGTTTCATCACCCATCGGTTTTGTAAGTCGAGCAATTCCATAAAGAGCGATACCGTCGCTCCGACTTAAAACTAAAATAATTACCCTCAAGCATACCACCGTCTCGCGCCATATGACAGCGGGCTATTTTAAGACCACACCGACCAACCCCAGTTTATATTTAGACGATATACCTTTCGACTACTGTGAAGTCACATTCGGCAAATTTTGTCGCCTTGCTGTGAACCGGACTTAAACATTCCACCCTTAAACTATTCAATTCGGTTTTACAGCAAAACGTTGGATTATTACAACAACACTTCGTGGACTTCTATCTATGCAGTTTGTGATAATTAGATAAACAATTATATTAATTGTAATTGTTGTTCATACAACACACTATGCGAGGCGCATAAGAATTATTGTTATCTGACACAGTTTTACCGCCTCCATCACCCGCGTTTTCGAATCGATGTCGTTATCGACAAAGCCATTTAACCCGCTTCTATTATCTTTATTTATCAAAATAATTGATTTTAACCTTTCAGTCGGAAAATATCGTATCGTTCAAATGCACTTCTCATGAGCGCCACAAGCTCGCAAAACAACAACACACTCGACTTTAGTAGATTCATTTTGAACACATAGCACACGACAATGCCGCTCGCCTAACTGATGCGATAATCGGTATTATTATCAATGTTTTATTATATAAAAAGCTGCTGGTAACGACAAACGCGGCAATTTTTTTTTTTTTTTTTGTGATCACACGTCAAAAGTAACCCGCGTAATTATTGGTTACACAAGCTTCGCAACGAATTTTTTTAATTGGGTAAACACGTTTCCATATAATCGTACAATAATAATTTATGATGGTCATGTAGAGGAGACCGGACGGGTTGCGTCCAGAGGTCGGCTGATTTTTTTTTTTATGGCAAAAACACCATTTTTATTTTCTCGGTGTAAATGATGTATACGTAAGCACTAAGCACACCAGAGCCCAACCATTTGCTATAGTCCGATGGTCAACCGGAGACTTTAGGCACAAGAAACTGTTTGAAAGCTATCATAACGGTCGAAAGCCGCCGTTATTGATCAAACGGCTATGTCAAACCCATAATTCATGTACGTGCATTCACACCGGATCCGTGCCGTTGTCGGACACGACAAACCGTTTAGACCACGACAGTATAGGTAGGTACATACAAGTCAAAGACACAAATGGCCGCCATTAGACACCCGACGCAGGTATGCCGATTCAAAAACATCCGGCTACATCGACACATAGCATAGATTGTGCACTGGAACGAGTAAAACGTTTACTCTACTCATTAATAGTAAATAAAAACCAAAAGGATCACGGTGGGTTAGGTGCGTGCAGAATGCAGCGTGTAAGCGAAAACGACAATGGCCGCCGCCAGGTAGCGCTACCGAAGACTGAAAATTCGTTATCTTTTCTCACGGTTCTCCGGCCCCCGACCCGACTACCCGGAGTACACGTGAATTGGGCTTGGAAAAACAATGATGGTCGTTTTTTTTAATTACTTATACGCGATGGAATACACAAAGCGGTTTGTGACGCCAAAGCCGACGACAAGGTCTCTCTCACGCGGTTCCTAGTCATTCCGGACGCGTACATCTCGGAGTGGGTATATTTTGCAACCTACTAGTTTCGCACGACCCCGGGCACAATAACAAAAACGTCGTTACACACGCTCGAGCATAATTATTAAACCTGAATAATGATAGTAAATATAAAAAAATACACCCACACCGTCATTACGCAACGTTGTTTTTAATTTTTTTTTTTTACATTATGCCGACCTAGTCGTGATGGATGGAAAACGCACATGTGCGTAGACATGTCTACAAGTTGCCCGTCCGGCCTATAAAATTGTCGTCGGTCGAGAATGTGTGCGAACCACAACGTTTGTATTATACCTAGTGGACAACCGTCGACTAAACTTCACACGGTACGACGGATTTACCTTGGATTTGCTGTGTCGACAGCTGGCCGCCCGTCGGAAAGACGAGCCGGTCTGGTTGCCGCCGATCCGGTCCAGAGGTTCGTGATGCGACGCCGTGCTTCCCATCGCTTTGGAAGGGCTGAACAGCAGTTTGCGCGAGAAGATCTTCTTGAACGACAACGGCATTATCACCACCGCATCGGCAAACACTATATTTTATTAATACTATACCAATTGTTTCCACTCACTAACGCGCACTCTTTCACGACGGCGGACCGAACATGGCGGTGTTTTCATAACAAATTTAGAATTAAAAAAAAAAAACAGCAACGATAATAAACGAATAAATCGAAAAGGGTTGCGGGGGATGGACAGTGATAAGCGCGGCGGTGGCGGCGGCGGCGGGCGGACAAACGACGGTTGGACCCGTGCGACTAGTGACTACTGGCATCGCCGCGCTGTAGAAAATTTCGTAACGTACATTCCCGTCGGACTCCCCCCCCTCCCCCAACTACCCCTCCACCCGTATTCGATGCGGAAACCGGTTATCGCGCGCGCGGTGGGAACCGATCGAGCGACGTTCACACACACACACTCACAAGCAGAAATCCCTCCACCTCGCCTCACCCCATATGCTAGTGTCCCCACCCCGCTATACACGCGCTTCAATAATTCAAGTTTCAACGGATTTTCTGCTCCGTGTATGTGTGTGGTGGTGTCAGGATTCAGGAAGCAAGGGTGCGCGAATTCTCCATATCGATGTTGTTAAGAAGTCGGAGATTTCAACGGTCAACCGACCTCGCAAGTCGGCAGAGAGTAATGCGCGGCATAACAATGTACGTCATTCGACGAATATAACATTATTATGAATAATAATAGTATTTGCCAATAGTAAATACGTATATATGTATGTTTGAAAATTAACTGCAACGTCATCTATCAAGGAAAAAACCGTAGTCGACCGTTGGAATCATGCAATGGTTTTTATTTCAAACGAAATTAATTGTTTTCAGTCATTACTGCATCCTAAGCTTTTCTGTCTAAGGTCCGGGTCAGGTGGACGTGGTGCAAGTGTAGCTTAGATTACAGACGGTAAATTCAGATCCTCGGAAATGGAACTCATAAAATGTATCAAATGTTTACACCAACCTAAAGTATTCATTTTTGTGGGGGCGTCCCTACTCTCCAACTCCCCTCTAGATGTTCGTTTCTGCTCCAAGAATAATTTTAATATAACTCAACTCTGGTCGGGCCACCAGTCGTTAAAATCGCTTGCCATTTCTTAAAGCGTAGAAATAAAATAAGAAATTATAATGTATAAATGAAAAACTAAGAAGAATTTTAAGTTATAAATTTTATTCTGAAATAGCAAAACGGAAACCCCGTCCTAAAATGATATTTTAGTAGGTACTTACAGCAGAAAAAAATAGCACTATCCTAATTTTAATTCAAATTATATAACTTTAAAAATGTATGTAAAATGTTAATTAGATCACAACGTATAAATTATTAGGTTTAATGTTTATGTATTATAAAAATTATTTATTTTTAAACAACGTAAATAATATGTTCCTTGGCCCTTGCTGTATTATTTTTTTTTTATAATTAGAAATTAATAATGGTTGGTACATAAAACAACCGGTGATATAAGATATTGATTTAGATAAATTACACAGTGACATTTTTATTCATTGCAGATTTACTAACCTATTTTAAAAAGTACATAGATATGAATAGTAATAAAACTATGCGTACTAATATCTTGCGAGCGATAACAAAGTATTGTGTACAACGCGAAACACAAGTTTCAGCTAACGACTACATTTTTGTGTTTGTGTTGTGTTCTTGCCTATCTATTAAATAATAAAATAGTGATTAAATTTAATGGATTTTAGTAAAATAACAAAATACAATAGACAATCACTAATGAACACAAAATGTCCCCCTTCTTCAAGTGGTCGGTCGGCTTATCATTTTTCAAAGTTTGCCCATTCATGACCGGTAAATAAAAAATGTTCATTATTCAAATTCATACTAATGATAAACTCCGTAGGTACATTGACATGCACGTTCAATGAGGTTAACACACGTTTTATTGTACATCAAAGTTAACCATAGAAAGCGAAAAAATCAATTTCACGAAAAAAAGGTTAGACGGAAATCTAAATAACGTCGTCTGTTGTTACATGATATTAATTTTACCTAATATAAATATATTCTATTTACTAGGTTTTTATAATCGAATATCTAATAAAAACAGTATCTTAGTTTCTTGTCAAGTTCGTAAAGAAAATTGTGGTAAGTTCTATGTAATAAGTTATTTATATTTCACTATACGTTTTAATTTGTTTTAGCTTAGATGCGGAACTGAGAAGGTATATTGTTTTTACAATGATGTGTTTTTATGTTTGTATTTGAACACACGATATCTTCGTCAACATATTTTTCAATATAAAACTACGGCGCACCATAACTTTATTAAAAATAATCGAATTATTTCCAAAATTGTATAAAATATTAAATTACTATCAATAAACGTCGACAAACTAAATAAATATCATAGAAGGAGTGAACATTGTATCTTTATTAATTATTTCGCTTTTGAGGTGTAGTGTTAAGGCTTAAGCCGCATTTTTTACTTTAAAATGTTTTTATCGATTTTTAATATTTCTACTATAATTAAATACGATTAGTATTTAGATATTTTTTTTTTTTGGGGGGGGGGCTGAGGCACTAACTCCTAATAAAAACTTGACAATATTAAACTTCTTCAATTCTCATCATATAAGTCCAAAGGCAGACTAAAAAAATTACGGAGGGGGAGTGGCTCCAGCGCCTTAAGCCACACCCATAAATACACCCCTGGTACGTTAATTTGAAAGTGATTTTATCACTTTCAGTTATAATAATTCCTGAAAACCTGTGACCTTCCCTACCCCAATATGCGCCTTTTACCATTGTGCTGGCATTACTTTCATTAAAATAATTATAAATTATGCAAAAATAATACATCGCAAGTAACTTAAAATATTTTGTTTTAAACATAATTATTATATTGTATGACGAGAACAATAGTTATTTTCTAAAATAGATAATATCCGGATTTTTAAAATCATTATTTACTTGTCGACATCTTAATTTCAAGACACCTTATATTAACAAAATTATTAAAACAATTTATGTAATACTTCGCCTTCTTGTGTTTTATTTGTATATTAAAGAGCATACTAGTTTTTAAGCAACGCTGTATTCATTGTTCAGTGGGTAACGCAGTACATATACGGATACCTACTTGTACATATACTCGCAGAGATATATTGAAGCATAAGTGCACAGATATTACGGCGCTTCGTTACATTAGCGTAAACTAATAAATTGCTTTTCTCAATTTCCATAAATATATTTTACATTTTCATTTTTCGGCAGTGATAGATTTAGGGAATGGGATGCAGCCTTCCTCGAAATTTCAGGAAATACAAATTGTCAATGACAGTGCAGAATGACAATTTTTTAATTTTTGAAAATAAAAGGTTAGCTCTCCCCGAAATAAAACCTTGGCTACGCCACTGTTTTCCCCACATAATATTATATTTTAACGTCTTATATTTTATTTGTTTGTTAGTACAAGATAATTTAAAGTAAGAATAATAATAAAACGAGGAAAACGAGATTATAGCATATACAATTGTTAATAGAATCACGTTATTTTCACATATAGTTTAGGCTACAAACATGAACAGCTCGCATATCAGCAGCATAAACTAATAATTTACACCAACTTTTAGTACATATTCATTACTTACTGCTAAAACCTAAATAATAAAATTGAAATTGGTTACGGTTTTAATAAAACAATAGTAATCGGGTTATAGCGGTTTCGGTTTTTTGACGTTTATAAGGATTAATTCGGGCTAGGGTCAAAGCACTGTTAGGTTGTTTATAAGTCTGTGTTCAACTTATACATTTAGTTTCATATCTAAATAATACGATTTTCAGATTAAGCTTACATTGTTTAAACTTATCATTGACACACAACCATTATTTTCTTCAAAAAACTGATTAATTTTACAAAAGCTGTAATCAAAACTAAAAAACCAAATTTTCACGTAACAACATTGTCTGTCTACCATGGCCCTTTTTTAAATATTTCAACCAGATGAATAATTAATTAAGAAGGGACTTTTTTTAAAAATGATATAGAGTTGGTTGTATTGAAAAAATACGGATGCGGAGCACAGAAATTTTGTTATATATTATATGTATGAATTTATTTCCTTAACTATATATATGAAGCCTGAGAAAAATTAATCCGTATAAAACTGTTTTGACAGGAAAAAAAAATTGTAATTTATCCTATGACTGTGATACTCTGACAAAAAAATGGTAATTAACAAAGTATCCTCATTACTGTATTAATAAGTATACATTATTTTTGAAACTCTAAATTAAGATTTTTCGAAAAATTGCCTATTCTTTACTCCTTAGAAATGGCCTGTTTAGCGTCGCGTCGTCTTAACCAGTTTATCGTTATTTCTTTACGTTTATTATCGATTTTATAGCAAGTATTTCGAAAATATACTGTTTTGCTCTAAAATTTTTTAATATGGTATTTTTATTTGCAGTTAATGTATAGTTTTAACGATAGGCATATCTTGATCTTATAATTCGTATATACAACATAGCCTATAACATATTACACAACTACACAACATACTACATAATTACATTAATATAGCCTTAACATTTTTTTTAATGGTCCAATGACATTTTTAAACTTAATGGGAAGAATTTTTCTGTTTACTGTTTTAACCTCGGCTCAAATCAAATCTGGAGTACCTTATAACCTAGTTCCGGCAACGTTTTACATTTTAAAAGAAGTATAATGTAAAACGCAAGGGTTTATTATGTATATGAATAATTATTACATTCAGTAAGTGTATTTAACAAATTGATTTTAGACTTAATGAAAAATATTGAAGTACAGAAAAGAACACTGTTGTTCTCTCAAGCGATAAGACTGACAGACTGTTAACTGGCAATATTTTACAATTCACATAAAACCAGCAGTAAAGTCTGAAGACACACCTTGCCGCGGGTGTCTAAAAAATTAATGTTTGCAAGTGGGCAAAGAAACTATTATGAATATCTGTTGACCATATTATTTCCATGTAAAACTTTCTCGGATAACATCACAACTGTACTTTTTTGTCCTTCGCTTTTTTATTATTTAAGTTCAGTTTTTTTGGATAAATGGTACTAATAAAGTTACCACTTGAGATGATTAAAGTTTCCCTACATCTTGTTTTACTTTATCTTATTTAATTACTGTTTAGATGTTTCCTTTTA